ACCTCGGCCTCCGAATACTGCATGCCAGGAGATGAAACGGCCCAGTTATATATAGCACTGGGCCTACTGGCTGCTGTGTCGGTCTGCGTCCTGGATCATCCTATCCTAATGCCGATCGACGGTTCAGGAGGCAAGCCCGAATCCTGGTCCTGGATTTAAAACAACGCGGTCCAGTCTATGAGAACTGTGCCTGGCCTCATCTACAGCCGCTGGGCCCGAATCGGCGCACAATGCTGGTGCGATACAACCCCGGACTGGGAACTCCTGAATCAGACAAACGAACTGGGCTGCTGAAACGACAAACAATGTATTCAGAGCGGGCGACACCAGAACAGACAAGGTACTGACAAACATCTGAGAACTCTACATAAATAAACCCTCGAAAAAAAAATGCAGACGACCCTTAAAAAAAAAGAAATACCCCCTAAAACCGCAACCTACACTCCTACCTGATATCAGGCCCCGAAGAGGCCCGTGTGGGAGCCCGTGTAGGAGCCGTGCATACGACAGTTGGGCTTATCAGAATTGAAAGGAATTCACGCTGCAAACGTCCCAGAGTTCCAGTTGGTCCCAGAGTTCCAGTTGGTCCCGGTCCCACTAGGTCCCAGTAGGCGGAGTCCCAGGCTAGGGTCTGTACGGTCCGGTAGGCTATAGGTTGAAGCGGCGTGGGTCAAGTCGGGCTGGCACCGAAAAGTCAGGTTGTTAGAAGTCCAGTCCGGTACCCGGCAAGAAAAGTCCAGTTCCAAGTCCAATTTTGCAGCAGCGTCCCAGCAAAGTCTGGAACATACCGCCCCGACAAAGATCAAGCAGCAGACAAGCCGCGGGCCACCGGCACTGTTCGGAAGTAGGCCAAGCAAAGTCTGAGTTCCTCTTTATAGTTGCTACAGTGCAGCGCTCCACTCGGCTGTTCATTCGCGAGTTGCTACAGTGCAGCGCTCCACTCGGCTGTTCATTCGCGAGTTGCTACAGTGCAGCGCTCCACAGTGCTTGTGCGACCTCGCGACTTGAGCAGTTAGCTCCTGGAGATGGAAGAAGGTGCCTTGAGACAACCATAGCCAGGGTTGAGTAGCAAGCTGGGCGGCCACAGCCATCGAGGTTGTAGACAGATCTGACTGGGTAGCTGACTGTGTGAGACTGAGTGATACAAGCAGAGAGAGAGAGAGAGAGAGAGAGAGAGAGAGAGAGAGAGAGAGAGAGAGAG